AACTTAAGAGATAGACTTAATTACAAATAATAATCAAAATATTATAGATAGGTAGGCACTTATAAATAATCTCAGAGAGTCAAACTTGACACTTAACTTCAAAGGTTAGCAGGTAATTAATATATCTTGATCCGGCATCGTAATGATAAATCGTACATTTTCATTAATAATTAAATTGGTAAATTAAGACATGCCTGTTTTCAACTAAGAAGTTTTTAATCCCTTATTATTATTATTATTATTATTAGGTACTTCGGTACTATATAGTTATGAAAGCTATTTCTAATACAAATAAGGCATAAACTATAGGTGTAACATCTAAGGCTATTGTGAACATTATTTTTTTCTATAACTATACCTATACTGACTTTATCTAAATTAATTAATATAAACTATACTGTCTACTAATTTGAATAATATGTTTAAGATTTAATATGCCGTCATTGTAATACTGCATAATGTAGATACAATATTTGTATGTTTGAATAATAGGTATAGGTAACTAATTGCTAATATTTAAAATTTAATATATTTTTTTAAGTATCAGCCCAGTAAAAACCTCAATATGGTATCGTTTCCAATGATAACATTTTTAAATTCCTAACTTAATAGTACCTAACAACATCAAGACCGTTAATTTTTTCAAATATATATATGTATTTAATGATAATATTTACTTCAACTATATAATATTAACATTTAAAAAAAATATATATATATTTAATAAATATTATTATTTAAATATTAAAAACATAGGTTAAAAATTAGTTAAAAAGGATAAATTATTATCCATTTTAGATTCTGAGCTTTGCGATGTTTGATGAATGTATTGTTTTTACAATGATTATGTGTATTTTTTTCCGTCAGTCATCAACATTTGCGGTGGATAAAATGCTCCGACGTCAGCATATTTTCTGATAGAAAAGTGAATCTGAATTTGGATCTCGGGAGGTCAAAATTGAAAATTGAAAATGTCCAGTAGTTTTTGAAAGCGTACATACCTACTTGAAAGTATATTTCCATTGACATACAAACTTGAGCACAAGATACAATTGTTATCCGATGAGATTTAATATTTTTAAGCTTCTATTAACATTCTCACTAAACCTAATTCCATTATATTTACCTAATTAATTAGTTGCAATAATATTTACAGAATGTAAATATCTACCTATATACCTTTTTTGTTTGTAATTATACTATATAGTATATTATGTTGACATTTTAAGTGTCTTAGTGGTTTTTGAACTTTTGAGGAGTGATACTGAAATTTACACAATTTTACCAACTAATCAATACATACATATTGTAAAGAAAAATGATGGTAATTTAAAAATATAAACAATTGTTGCATTCAGTTTCAACAGTAGGTAATTTACAAAAATGGTTTTCATTAAATAAATATACCTACCGTAGATAAAAAGTGTGGTTTTTACAGTAATACGTCATATTTATAAAGAAAACCATTTTTGTAAATTACTGTTGAAACATTTTTTTTTCCTTTATTATTATATACACAATCTGTAGGTACCTCATGGGTACAATAAGAGTATTAGCTGAGATAAATATTATACATGAAAAGGCTTGATAAAAGCTTAGATCATATATAGTATATGATCTAAGGATAAAAGTAGCCACCCAGTGATGACACTTAAAAATTGAGGTTATACATTAATTTATATATATATACATACACTAGCTGATTCCGTGCACTTCAAACATAAGAGGGGGAGTTCGTTAATTTTCTTAATGTAATATTTTGAAAAGCCTGAATACGATTTGTATTTGATTTTTTTGCATTTCCCCAGAGTTGGAGACCATAGGTCCAAATGGGTTTGATGAGAGAATAGAGATTTATATATTAGTAGTTTTATATTAAGGTTGGTGTGTTTTTTATTGACTAGTAAAGATTTAAGCATACCAAGTCGCAGATTTAGTTGAAGTATTTTTATACGTGTATGTTGGGCCCATGTAAGTCTACGCGGTCAAGGGTTAAGCAAAGATATTTTACTGTTGGAGTAGACGTAGACGGAATTTGAGTGCCATAGAGAGTGACTGGCGGACAGTGTCCTAGCTTAAGGGCAAAAGTTGTGTTATTAGATTTGGTTTGGTTTACCTTAAACCTTCAATTTTTATACCATGTTTCCATAAGGGATAGATGATTTTGTAGATTAAGTGATGCTACAATAGGGTTTTCATTTATAGATATGATAAGTTTGTCATCTGCATAGTCTGCCACAATGGTGTTGGCGGAGGTTGGTTGATCAGAAGCATATAAGTTATACAGTATTAGGGAAATGATGCCCCCTGTGAAACACCAGCTCTGATGTTTGCTATGTTAGAGTATGCCGATTTAAAATGGACTTGAAAATAACGATCAGTTAGATATGACTTAAGTAGCGTTTAGTAAGTTGGAGGCAAAAATGTCTTTACCTTGTATAGCAGCCCTTCGTGCCATACACGGTCAAAGGCCTGTTGAATGTCAAGAAATACACAAGAACAATACATTTTTTTTTCAAGTTCGAACGAAATCGAGTCAACTAGTCTAACAGTCTAAGTAATTGATGGGATTGTTGAATGTTGTACGAGAAAACCGAATTGATAGTGAGGTAGGTTATTTTTTTCACTAATTATGGGAAGTATAAGATTCAGTATAAGTCTTTCTAGCACTTTTACGAAAAATGGTAATAGACTAATTGGTCTATATGACGTTAAAAGGTCACGGGGCTTTACTGTTGAAACTGAAAGCAAAAAATGTTTAAATTTGAAACAGCTATAAATTTCCTTTACAAATATGAATGGATTGAATAGTTGGTAAATTTAAGTATCACTCCTCAAAAGTTCAAAAACCACTAAAACACTTAAAATGTAAACATAATATAGCAATTCCGAACAAAAAAAAATAAATTATAATAAAAAAAGGTGCTCTGCTGTACAGTAGGTTACAAGTGGGTCACTGTATAATGGATGATATTAAATTTGAATTCAACGATATAATATCATTGTATAAGAAAAACCATTCTGACCGGAGACGGTATGTCAGTCTAGGTAAAAGACATATTATAAACATATTTACATATCTATGGTATTAAAAAAAAATTGACCTATAATAGGTACCTATAATAAATTCAAAATTAATCATATCACAATATTCTTTATTCAATATTTTTAGGTACTTATGACAAGTTATACATCAACAACAAACCCTGATACTAACATAGATATATAATAGTGTATACTTTAGAAGTTTCAAGTACCCACTAATAATATTATACAATCACAACGAAATAATTAAAATAGTAATTCTAGGTTTTTTATGTAATTTCATCCAAATTTGAACTTAAAATGACTATAAAAATAAACTGGGAGCATTTATAATTCGTATTAATTGCATATCAGTCTGTTCTATCAGTACCTATATTTGTTACAACGAACATTAATTATAATACAGTGCAAAACTTATTACGTATTTGCGTACTTTTTGAGCTGTATAGGGACATTTTCAGTTTTCAATTTTTTTAGTTTTTTTTTCTATAATCTATATTTCTATATATATCAATAAAGTTTTATCTGTTGAGCCAAAAAGTGTAAAAATTTAATACAAGGCTCCTGATATATTGTTACAATAGCAGTTGAAAAATATTAAAAATACATAGGCACAGTTTTTTTTTATAAGCATTTAAAGATTTTGACAAAATTTATCAAAATCTCGAAAATTATCAATCATTGTAATTAATAAATTATAAAATGTTCAGTTTTCCCTGTTTACATATCATCTTTAGAAGTGTTTGTACATTGTACATGTCAATAAAAATGTTTAATATAAAGAATAAGGAAATCTGACGAATGTGATCCGGCTCTCCCCTAATGTTATGTAGTCTTTTTATAACTATATAACTAAATATTTGGTAGAGGGGGTTGGGTGGGCTAGAAATGTTTCTTGGCACCTGGCGCTGATTATGCTAGGTACGGCACTGCCTTTAGGATACATTATTTAATTTCATACAAAAGAATAAAATGTAAACTTTCTAGCAAAAAAACTGTCCCACTATGTTCTTACTATTCTTTTTTTAAATATATCATTAAGTTTATTGTTTTCAATTCATCAACATAATCAACATAAATATGTTTGACTAAATTTGACTCAACATAAGCCACAACTAACAATAACAGTCCATCTAAGCGCTAGTAGCCTAGTGAGCATCTCCAATGTGTTTCATGTCTTAACATAGCTTAATAGTTAATACTAACTATAATTCAACTTTTTTAAGGAGCATAATTCATAATATTTGTAGAAAAATAAGACAATGCCGGTTTAATGGTATTCAAAACTTTTATATAATAGGTATCAGGTACAATTAAATACACTTTCATCATAATATGTAGATATACTACTTGACATGGCAATAATAAAATAATAACTAACTTGTCAAACATTAAATAACAAAAAATACATAACAGGTCATGAAATAAATACAAATATTGTACTTTGGGACTTGGGTTAGCTGATATCATTCTGTGTAAAAAATAAAAAATTTAACATATCTTTGTTTTTGTTGTAACCCAAAATAGAAAATAATAATGGTACAGTGATATATTCAGAGGTGTATATATCTCCACAGTCAGCACAATTTTATTGTTTAACATAGGTAAAAAAAAATAAACAATCATCAGAGTGTAAATTACCAGAATTTTGTCAAGGTCAAAAGTCATAATTTGGAATCATTTTAATCTTTCATTATTAATATTAAAAATTACATTCTTGCTTTTATCATATTTTTGTATTTTTTTTTAGTTTATGGTCATAGTATATATATTATACGAGTACTATGGAATATGGGCCCATAGCAGATGTATTAGTATACATTTTTTAATGATTGTAGCTTAGATCAAACAATTTATTTTTAATTTCTGTTTATAATTAAGTGATTGGCCATATCAAAAGTAACTTTATATTCTCATTGCTCTTGTTTCATCTTTAATGCTTGATTAACATATTATCATGTTTTTAAAAATTTTGATTTTATATTTGTTGCCATAAATGAGTTATGAGAATAAGTGATCGCAGTAGTTGATGTGGCTATTTGTCTTGCAAGTCTATCTGCTATATCATTACCTTCAATTGCATTGTGACTTGGAATCCAAATTAAATGCATTAAATTGCCTTTTAATTGGTGTGCATGTATTAAGCATAGTATACTATTAACTACATCAGATGCTGTATTAATGTTTTGAATACACGATATAGTAGTTAACGAATCACTAAGAATTATATAATCATTGAAATTTTCTGCCAATGCATAATCAAGTGCCCTCAATATAGCTACTGCTTCAGCTTCACATGATGTATAGTCTGACGATAGTTTATAGGTGTATGCATCCTTATTAGATACAATGGCAATGCCAACATTATTTTGAATTTTTGAAGCATCTGTATATATTCTAAAACTATGAGGATAATTTTGTAATAAACTATTCAGACGAGCTTTATAAGTTGCTTGAGAAGTTGATCCTCTTGGTAGTTTGGTTAAACTGGTATCTATGTTTGTCAAATTTGAAGAAATATTAGTTGTTGTATTATTTGTATAAAATGTTGATTGAAATATTAGATCGAAGTTTAAATCCATTAACGATGGTATTGATTGTGTACATTGATATTTTTGAAAAGAGTTAAAATGTTGATTGTAATATATGTTAGTATCCTGAGTTAAATTTAACTGTTGCGGGGAGTTAGTAAATATTTTTTTGGATTTAGAATATTGCTCCATTTCAAATTCATTGTTGTACATTGTTTTTGCACAATTAGGTATAGCAGATGGAGCACTGATTATTTTAAACCTCATGAATGGGTCTACGGCTCTCAATTTTAGGTTATATGTTTCGTTAATCTTTAAGAATGTTGTATAGTAAAATACATTATCCATGAGAATAGTGGCACTTGAGTTTTCTGTAGCCAATTTAATTTCATTCCAAATTAGTTCTGCTAAATTAAATATTTTTGAACCAATAAATGACGAGGTATGATGCTGAAAAAAAATAATTCCAACAATGTTAAAATAGTAATGCTAACATAAATAACTACTTAATTATCAATAATAATACATTTTATACAGCCTTAATAAAAAAAAAATTATTATATACAATGTGTCCCGTGAAAATCGACTTGCCAGCGTATTATGATACCTTAAGTTATGAAAAACTTCTTTAAAGGGGGTCTAACTTTTTTATTATTCTAGTAATAGGCAATTCAACTTTTTTTTTAAACAAAACCGAATCTACCCCACATTGGCCACATTTTCTGATAATCCTTCAAAACTTTTCAACTTTTTATTATTTTAAAGCAATTTAATTGTGTTGTCAACTAACTAACATACAAACAATCAAACCAGAAATTGTACCAATAATTTTTATTAAATAAATAATAAAAGTTGACAAAAATTTGCATTTTTGAAAGAAATTTGCTTTTACTCCAAATAATGCCGTTTTTATTTTTATTTTACTATTCTACAGAATAATAATACCTAGATTAATCAACTTTTATTTTTATTTTTTTTATTTAATAAAAAGTATTTGTACATTTCTAGTTTAATTGTGTTTGTTAGTAGATGACACAATAAAATAGCTTAAAAAAAAAATGTTTGGCAAAAAGTTGAAGAGTTTTGAAGATATATCAACAAATTTTGGTCACTCAAAAATAATAAAAATAATAAAAATAATAAATACAACTAACTTAACCTATGACAATTAGTAATAACGTGAAATAATCAAAACAAAAATCTTACTAAAACAAGATCACTAGAGGAAACAGTTGGCTCTCCAATTAGTGCTAAGAACTGTTCAACGCCAGCTCTGAAATTATTTGTGAATAATATTGTATATGAACATATTTGAGCCATAATTTTCCATTTGCCATTTTCATTATATTTTGGAAATAAACCATTAAGAAGAGGAACGGCATCTTCACCATTTTTATGCTTTTTTACTATTATCTTCATATCTTTTTTTAAATTTGATTCGGTATCAATTTCATTCTAATTATTTGGAAATAAAACAAAACAAATAAATAAATATAAAAATTGATTAATGGGTTTGTATAAAATATAAATCTTATAATTGCTTTGACACTTTTTGTTTGAAAATAAATAAAATTCATACTTAGTTGAAAAATGTTAGTTCTATACTTAAGAGGTCAAGAAGACGATACACAGATATTTGTTGTCACCATCTTTCATGTGTGTAACATACCAAATTTACGCTCAGCAGATCACTTTTAACTCCGTTAGTTTAAAAATTAGAGTGACTCGACCTATTATGAAACTTAATGGTAAGAACATTATCTGTGTTTGTATGTGGATTTTTTACTATAACTCAGTTTTTCAGTGACCAATGAGTATTTTAAATTTTCGCTATATATTATATATGCAACACTTGCCAAAAAATTGAACTATTGTAAAAAACCCACATACAAACATGGATAATTTTCTTAACATCAAGTTTCATAATAGGTCACTGTAATTTTTAAACTAACGGAGCTACACTTGATCCCACTGAGGGTAAATTTTCTACGTTACAAACTTGTAAAACAGAGACAACAAATGGCTGTGTAGCGTCCTCTTAATGTAGCTGTATAGTAATATCAACTATAATGATACAAATTTACATACAATAAGACCAGTGTTGATCTGACACACTCAGTGATCCCAAGGGTTCTTATATTTATTTTAGGGCCCAACAACATAAATTGATTGTCGAACATATAGAATTTATGCCTTTACTTAAAAGCTAATTGAAATTTAATGTGCCTGGGGCATGTCATGTGCAGACCAACACTGCATACAATTAGTATTATATAATAAAACTACGATTAGTGTTATAAGAGTTAAATATATAATTTTTGCCTATTAATTTTATTTTATTGAAATATTAGCAGGTTTGATTTTTACTTTGACACGAGTAATTAATGTTTAAGGCATATACAACCACAACAAAAAATGTTTTATGCTTGGTTATAATACTTAGCAATATAAAAAAATATATCATGAAAACAGAATGCGAAATTTATGATTATGTATGTTTAATAATGATTCTGATTTGATATTTTATTTTTAGTTTACTAATTATATCCAATACTGGTAACCCAATAAAGCACATATTATTCCAGACTCCAGTACCTAACACATTCGTCAGTATATAATTTGTCGCTAGTTACATTGGAACGTTGTTCTGTAACATTTGGTTCCGTGTGTAGATTTTACTTGTGTAATTTCACTTTCTCACTTCTATGCTGTAATATAGTGTATTTAGTTGTAGTAACAATAAATAAACAAACTCATACAAAACCATTTTGATAATATATTATTATTATATAAATGTAGTCCACCTTGATCACCCGAAATTCGATGAAATATTATCAAAATTGAATATTATCTTTTCAACATTTGAAATCTAAACATATCTTATAACAGTATACTAATGAATAATTCCTAATCATGACTCATTCGGTATAAATAATAATATGATAGAAATTATTAATGTTGGTTGAATTAAAATGTTGCGCTTACACAAATTGATCCATTCCTTAAAACGCATAGGTGAATTATCACAATTGGGAAATCTACGAGTTCCTAAATTGCTATTATAATACACAACAATATGGCATAGTAGTGAGCAAGTAAAAGTTACAAGTCAAATCTACATACAAAACCAAATATTAAACAACAACGATCCTGTTAACATAATATATTGATGAATGTGTTAAGTACTGGGGTTTGGAATACTATATCTGTATACATTATTCGGTAGACAGTATTATACATACATAATATGATATAAATATAAATATAATAAATTATATATTTAACAATTGACATGCGACAAGAATATTTTCATACGGTTCGCTGAGGCAATCATAAGTGCCAAAAGTGAGGTGAGGGTGGGAAACTTGCTTACAAATAATTTAATTAAACCTTAGTGTTTAAAATATTGTAATAATATAGTTTAAAAATAAAAGTTAAAAAAACTATCTATAACATACAATTTGTCAATTTTAAGCAACTTTGAAATAAATTATCTGAAAAATAATGAAACTTGTTTTCGAAACAATAAACTCATTAGTTCCTGATTACCTACTTAGTATCACTCAGTTCACTTAGTATCAACAATCAATATTAAATTGAGAGGACATAGTCTTAAGAGTAATTAGGGAGGGGCTGTGGGAGAGGGCTTATCCCTTCAAAATTATTACTCAATTGTTTCCTATAATATTATAAACCTTTAAAAATTCAACTATATTTCTCAATTTAATTTTTCTAGAACAAAATTTAATTATTTAATTTTTATTTTAAGTTTATAATTATTTTATATTGCTTATGACAAACATCATAATTATAACCATATATATGGTAACATCTATATAGCTGTATGCATGTATTTGTTTTAAGGAAAAAGTGTATGTTGGTATATTGGTACGATTATTATACATAATTATACAGTATATGCACTGAACTATAATGTTATATAGACAGTGTATTATTATTGTGAAAAATGAAACTTGAGTAAATAAATAAATAAATATTTATTTTTTTATATTTTTAAGTAAATATACAGTGTGTTTACAAAACAATTTTTTTTATTGTAACCCCCCTTTTGTAGTTTGAATATGAATTACTTTAATTATTTTAAGCAACTTTGACTACTTTTATGTTGTATTTGTGATATTTTTTTAACAATAACAATATTGTACTATGTTCTGTGTGATTTTGTGTTTTTCTTTCAAACTCAGGTGTAGTGTTGTAATTCCCCCGCGGGTTACTTTTCATGTAATAACAGAACATGTTAGCCTTAGTTGCGCCACGAGATGTGGTACCTGCATCTAACATCAGTCTTACACACATGTAACATAGCAAATATATTGTTTATAGTCTCTTCAACAAATTCAATAATATGTAAATGTGCTCTAATATTAACTATAAACAATCTGTAGTAGTAAGAATTTGTTAAATAGATTTGTTATGTTACGTCTGTGTTAGACAGATACATACATGCTGGTAAGAAAATATTCTCTTAATATGATAAATATGATAAAGAATTATAGTTATGTCACATAAATTGAGTCAATGTTTATTTTGAAATTTTCAAGTTTTTAACACTTTAGACGGATAACCCATTCCTCTTTAATTCAAAATAAAATCTTACGGTATATTCTGAATCATCTGTTTTAAAAACAGGTAATCCATTTTGTGCCACTTGAAATTCATTTTCCAATAATTCATTTAAAGAAGTTAATACTAGTAAATTAACAGAATAAGTATTTTTTCCATCAGAAGAACTAATAGCTTGCTGGATTGCTAAATTAACTTCATTTTCTGTTGGACACAGCGCATTTTTCTGTAACAACAGTCTCTCAGTTGAATATATTTCGTTTCTATACACAAACTGTCTTTGAGCAGTCAACACCAACGAATAAATATGAAACCAGTGAGAAGTTTTAGGATCCAATTTACATGCTTCTTTAGCATACTTCGATGCATTTTTAAAACATTCAAGACTTCTACCATATTCAACTAATATAGCAGCTCTTATGGTATACACGGCAGCTTTGGATTTATTATCCATGTTGTCAAATGGAACAATTTCTTTAAGTAACTGAAAATAAATGCAAAAATTAAAATAATCACTTATGAAGTGAATGTGATAACTACTATTTCATCTTATTCTTATAGTAGCATATTAGTACATTTTTAGATTCTGAGTGGAACGATGAATGTATTGATTTTTCAATGATGTGTGTTTTTTTTTTAATTTTTAATTTTTTTTTATTTTTGTGTCTGTCATCACGTTTTAGGACGGTAAAAGTGCTTGGATTTTCTTCAACAGTATCTTTTCTGATAGGAAAGTGAATGTAGTTGGTACTTTAGGCCCTTTAGGGGGTCAAAAGTAAAAATTTCAGAATAGTTTTCACAAGCGCTGGGAAAAACAACATAAAAATTAAGGAAAAACAGGAATTTTTAAGCAAAATCGGTTTTCCAATAAATCGATTTTGGTTTTTGGTGTAACTCTAAAACAAATGAACGTATATACATTACATTTTCACTGGTTGTTTATATTTGCATTTCCTATACACCATACAATTTTGAAAATATTTTGACTCTTTTTGAGCTGTTTACGGACATTTACAGCTTTCAATTTTTTTTAGTTTTTTTTTCTATAAATATCAATAAAGTTTTATCGGTTGGGCCAAAAAGTGTAAAAATTTAATACAAGGCTCCTGATATATTGTTACAATAGCAGTTGAAAAATAGAATTTAAAAATACTTGGGAAATTTTTTTTTTTTAAGCATTTAAAGATCGAATTTTGACAAAATTTATCAAAATCTCAAAAATTAAAGTGGATGTCCACTTGCCCACCTTTTTTTCTAATAATATTATGCTAATTTTTTTCTTATAGCTATTCTATGTTGTTGACTAATAAACAATTAAGTATAAAAATGCAATGTTATTTGGTGATTTTTTAGTATGAGAAATGTAAATAAATAGTAAATTAAATCAATAAGTTTTTATTTGTAATAAAAAAAAATATAGCGATTAAAATATTTTAAATTCTTTTAATAATTTAATTTTAAAAGTAGTAGTATTAATAGTATAGTATAATATAATATAGTATAGTATAGTATAATATATTTAATTCTATTTGAAATTTATGTTACCAGTATAAAAAAAAAATTTTATTTTCTCATCGGCTATTACCCAGTTTTGTTTTGCAGAACATTTAATGCTGTCACTATTTCCACTACTCGAATAAAAAATAAAAAATTTACCGATTTAAATCCTCCAGTTTCATTTGCAGCAAATAACATATGAACAAAATTTGACATTCTTATGTGCTTCAAGGCGGAATTAATAGACAAGTAAAATTCATCAGTACCTTTATCCAACTTTTCAAGCCAATTACCAATTTCCAAAATTTTTGTATCACTTTCATTTGGTTTACCATTTTGATATAATTCATAGCTAATGATTAAATTACCAATGAATCTAAAGAATAAAAGATGGTTATCAAATATTAAAAATGAAATACCTAATACTTTTTTAAATATTATTTAGTCAAAAAATACAAAAATGAAAAATGAAAAAGATAATTTCCGTATATTGTGTTGCTTAATTATAAAAAAAAAAAATTATAATGCATGGCAGGAAGTACTCAGTGGTAAATGGCGACGGCTAAATACCTATATCATTAATTGTCAAATTTTGACTAAACAATATCTTTTCTTTTGACCTTATGACTTTGACTGAAGTTTATCACAAATTATAAAATATTAAATAATATTAGAATTCAATAAATATCATTAGTAAGAAAATGTCATAGAACCATATTAAGATATTCATTATTAATTTGTCTTATCAACATATTTTAATTATTGCCTTATAATGTACAAAAGAACTTAATATATTCATACCAATTAAATATTATTATTAAATAACCAACTATTATTTTTAAAGTAGTATACTCTTCTATGTTGGTATGTTATTATACTGAATTCTAAAAGTTATATTACCTACCATAGTCACTTATTACATGAAATCTTTTAATGCATTATTTGTATGTAATTTCTAGATATTAAATAGACTTATATAGTACTTAAAGCCGTGCACCTATAGGAACATTAAAATTAATTAGTGTTACAATTTATTATTTTAAACATATAGATAATCTATATCTATTAAGTAACCACCAAGATAAATATTGTAAATACATAAAAATGCTAATGATTGACAATAATTATTGACTGTTATTATATTCACAAAGTTTAGGACAAATTAATAGCTGAAACATATTTACCTTACAAATGTAAATTCTGATACAGAAATGTCTAAATTGTAATTACCATATTTGTTTTCAATATGTGTAATAATATCTTGCTTCTTTTGAGGTTTTAACTTCCATGTAAATAAACAATGCAAAGATTCTATTTGGTTTAATAATTGTGTTTCATTGGTATGTTCAACAAGTATTTGGTTTTTTTTTCCAATACTTTTGGTGTCATTTACACTATTAACCAAATCAGAACGAATTAATAAACCATTGGTACTAATGTCCAAAGGCACTGCATTAGAAACAACTAAATTTTCAGAAGAATCATCATCTTTGATTTCATTCAATAATTTAAGAACATTATCAATATTTTGTCTAGTATGTTCAATTGAATTTTGTGTTGATTCACTGTTATTTTTGTTTTGTTTATTAGATACAGTTACAAGCGATTTAAACATTGAAGAAAACATTTTTCTTCTTCTAATAAATCGAATCTGTTGATGGAAAATTATAAAAGTTTCAGTAACAGTAAAGGGAAATTACAAAAACAATTTAAAACTTATATGATGGAATAAAAACAATATTGTGCTTACGAAATTTTTTTACCTTTCCTTTGACTACCTTGCGCGAATGAACAGTACAATGAGTTTATGGTGGACGACTTGATATTATATCGTTCACACAGAAAACCGTCGATTTCATTAGGATTCGTCTGGAAAACAAATGAGCATCTAACTCTTGACGACAGCAAATTGCACGACCGTAACACGGTATCCAGTCGACCATTAAAATCGATTTTATTTGGTAAAAACAATTGGGTAACACAAAAGCTAATACACAAATTGGGTTATATTATGACCATAATACCTGCGACTACTGCGCAGTTACGGACGAATACAGGTCTCTCGAAAATCGTAACTGATGTGTAGTCGCGCTAACGAGCACGCAACACCGGACTCCCACTTATTGCAGTCGGTGCTCTACTAAAGGCTCTGTCAAACAGAAAGCGTTATTTTCACGTCGCGTGATTTTGTAATTTATTACAACGCCGCGTTATTCGCGCGCGCGTGAAATCAACATTCAACACGTCGACGAGCCATTTACCGCTTTATTGAGCGGACGCTACGGCTACAGTGACATTTGTTGTCTCCGTCTTACAAGTGCGTAAGATGGCAAATTTTACGCTTAGCAGAACACGTTTATCTCCGTTAGTTTAAAAATTAGAGCGAATTGATAAGTAATAGATAAACAGTGAAACATATAGGTACTGACTGATACCCGGCACATTGGCAAATATGTAAACTGTATTCTGTAAATTGCATATTAAATTAAACTTAAGTTATTTTAAATATACTATCTTTAAAACCCAAACAATTTATTTTGTCCAAAACATCGTTTTAAACAGAAAAAACAAAAAAAAAAACTCTGCATTATATTATAGTAGTAGTAAAAATGGTCCGATGTTCTACATCAGCATCTTTCCTGTTAGAAAAGTGAATCTAGTTGACGCATTCTTTAGGCCAAAATTGAAAATTCCAAATAGTTTACGAAAGTGTCGCTAAAAAAAAAAATAGGAATTTTTACGCAAAACCAATTTTTGAACAAATCGATTTTATTTTAATTGGTTTAACTTAAAATTAATAACCGTACAATTTCACCAAATATTTATATTAGGTAGCATTTTCCATTTCTCGTGACATTTTAGAAATATTTTAACCCTTTTTGAGTACTTTATAACCTTGAACAATTTTTCGATTTTCGTGATTTTTTTTAAAATTACTGTCAATAAAAACTTTTGCACTTAATAAAAAAACTTGAAAATTTAATGCAATTTATCGCTTCAATAGCAGTTTAAATATATCAAAGATACAAAGCACGACTTTTGCACAATTTTTATATGCATTATTATTTATGTTCAAATTTTGAAAAATTCTTCAATTCCCGAGTATGCAGAGCAAATTATTTTTCAGTTAGAGATTCACAAAAGATTTTATCTTCATAGCTAGCATTCGAAATTTTAATAGAAGATTCCCTACAAGTTTGTCTACCTTTAAAAAAAAAAAAAAAATATGCCGGAAAGTGACGCTATTTATATTTTCGATTTTTATACTTATTTTTTTTCAATTATTAAATTTAATATTTATACAAATATGCTAATTTCTAGGAGTGTCTAGGATGTCTCCACTCAGAATCGTTTTTCGTATGCAATGGCCACTGATTTATCATTGAATTAAGATATAACACATACCCATACCAATGACATACTCGACAACTATGCTATACTGCAGCAGAGCGTTCTTACTTGTCTACCCAGTGGCGTACCGACGGGGGGGTTTTAGGGGTTTAACCCCCCCCCCCCAAGTAAAATACGAATAATGATTTTTTTTATGGAATATTATATTTAGACTAGGATCATATTATGCGTTTTGTCGGTCGGTCACTTCCCGGTGGTTTTAAAAGGTTCCGTATATCGGTCTAGTCTGGCCCCGATAACGCGTTAATATTTTTATGGAAAAATAATTACTATCATTCCATGTTACATTTTATTACATGGGTCATGGTTGTTTATGAGCAAAGTACTAAGTTCATAACTTCATACACAGATATACGTGTGCGTGTAATGTGTATAATAGATAATATTTTGTAATCGTAATATCGTTGCTATCTACTTTGAATCATGCGATTTGACATACCTAATAATAAATATTATAAAAATATTAAAAAATAATATTGAAACAGATTCACCTGAAGTATATTTTCGTGTTTCAATATTCATTCCATTTTTTATTACCCAAATTCAAAGACGTTTGTTAGATCATAAACAAATTTTGTCAAGTTTTCACTTTCTCTTGCCATCAAAAATAAATAATTTAGAGTTCAAAAAACAGTTTGAGACTGACATTGTACATTTAGTACGTCGTTATGAAAAAATCGTTAACTGCAGTGAACAACTAAGTACTTATCGGAGAACTTAGATTATGGTGGAATTATGTAAGCCAAATGAATGACAATATTAAAAATGCCCATTCAGCTTTACTTGTATGTGATGAAAAAATATTTCCAGTTACACGAAAACTTTTAGTTATTCTTGTTACTCTACCAGTAACGACAGCCACACCGGAAAGGACTTTTTCGACTCTTCGTCGTCTCAAAACCTATCTACGAAATACAACCGGAGAATCTCGCTTAAATGGATTAGCAATGCTAAATATTCATCGGGATATTGAAATCTCAACAGACGCAGTACTAGATGAATTATTAAAATCATCGAGACGAATTAATATTAAGTTATAACTTAATAGGTTAGTGTTTTTAGTCTATAAAATATACATTTTTAAAAAATTGTATTGTGCATGTCTTTATAAATATAAGAAGAATACAATTGTATAAACATTTTTTTTTTTTTTAATTGTATATAAAATATGGTACCCCCCCCCCCATAAACGAATTCTGCGTACGCCACTGTGTCTACCTTTTTAAATAGGATATTTAACTAAGTATACTCTCCAGCGACTAGTTTTAGTGTTACAGATTTACGGTTATTAGTACACAATTTACGATTTTCCGAATAATGTATACTTTGCCCTGGATGACAATACTCCTGGTTTTATTTATCAAGTTCAACATACTATCTTCTTATTTTTGTGGATACTGATTAAATAAGACAAAAAATCATTTACTATATTATACAGGTATGCTTTATGCTTATATATATTAATAATTCATAGTTTATTATTACCATAATATATAAAGTTCCGTTGATTAATACAAGTGTATAATATAATTTCGCGTATACGGTATACGAGATACATCGTCATCATAATATATCATTGTCAAATATTATTTTATGACAAAGTAAAATATCTGGCGATTATAATATGCAAATAATGCTAATTAGTGACTACTCGAGATAATATTTTAAGAGCAACTAAATAAATGTTCGTCATTAACTAATTAAATTCGATACCTACTATTATCGCTTGGTTAATACTTAACACTAAATATAGATTTATTATAGATTCTGAGTGGAGCGATAAAAGTTTATTGATTTTACAAGTATGAACTATGAGCTTTTTTTGTTTTTTGCATCATCGCCTTATGGAGAAGTAAATATTTTAAATCTCAACTATCCAATACCTAACTAATCCAACTGATGTTTTGTCAAGAAGATTTTTCGCTGTCAATTTAATCAACAATGAGTTTGGCATGGTCCATGTTGGTTAAAATCAACACCAGTCACCAAAAAAATTGGAAAAACTAAACATTCTACAGCGCCCGAATAGTTACTTGGAGTTCGTATATAGCCTACCTAACCTGTCTTAATAATTACTCAGCCTCGCAAAGATGAGCCATCATAAGATCACGTCCTATTAAATCAGTAGGTACTAAATTTGGGCAAAACTCATCGGCGTAACTGGGGGAGCTTATATTTAGCCCCACTATGAGGTTTTACTTTTTAGCCCCTCCTTAAGCTCGTAGTTAAAACCCAAATCATTCCGAAAAAAAA